TTCAACTACACATTTTTCAATAAAATAATATTTTCTATCACATCAATAATTTTTCCTTCTTTTTTAACCACACATTCTCTATCAATATATTGTTCCAAAATACATTCTTCCAAAATAATATAACTCAAACACACCCTCAATTCTTGTTTATTGCAACATTTTTTGACCCAAGATGCAATTATAGTTTTAAGAAGATTACAATTATGGTTGAACTTTATAATATATGATTTTATTGCTTTAGCTTGTACTTTGATCTATATATTAGACCAACAAATTTTTGCTTTAATATTAATATATTCAAAATTTATTGCTGCTATGTTGCCATTTAAACAGTGATTCGAAATCCGAACCACTAAAAATTGTTTGATTTGGAAAATTTTCAAAACGTTTTAATCATTTTAGTTTAAAAACTCATTTTAATTGAACAGAATTTGCACCAATTAAAAAGTAAAATATGACAATATTCAAACACTAAACGGCTAAACCTAATAAATTCTATTCATAGTTCACTGCTCTAAACATATAGACTGTACATGAGAATGGCAAGTATTTCATACCTAAACAACCGCGTGAAGTAAATTGAAGTCCACAAAAAAAGAAAACTTTTTTGCCGACAAAAGGAATGGAATGGCATCCAATTCACACAATATACTTTTTCTCAAATAAAAATTTCAAGAGAACAAAATTCCACCATACAGTATACAAATCTACACATTATACAACATATTCAGATTAACAGTATGTACAAATTAACATAAAGACAATGTGCTTGTCAGTGTGGAAAGGATAAATACCGATGAAGCCTTGTATCGATGGGGCCAACGCTGTTGAGCTTCTCCATCGGCAACCGGCTCTCCGATAAATCGGCAAGCACTTTCTTCTACCTCAATCCGACCTGTCTCCTCAACATCAAGCAATTCTGATGTATTCTCAATGTTCCCATTGTCCAACACTTCCTCTGCTCCCTCTTCTCCCGCAATAACTCCACCAGATCCGGTCACAGAATCCAAATCCAAAGCTACATCATTCTCTGGCCTGTCGGAGGCTTGTCCTCTGGATCTCTTGCTCTCCTCCACCGCCGCCGCATCTTCCTTTGCTGAGGGCAATTTCCTTTTACTCGGCATTGCAGTATATGTATGTGTATAGACTATAGAGAGAGACTGGTAGAGAGAAAGGGAGGGAGAGATAAGGGCGCAGGGAAGATGGAGTTTGCTTGTGTGGGGTTTTAAGGGCACTGAAATTCAAAAGTTTTGAAAAGTGGAGGGAGGAAGCGGTATAGCGGAATTGTTGGGCCTAAGTGAAGTGGATTTAATAGAGGGGCTTGGATTCCGCATAAGGGCACAGGGGTTGTTTGGTTGCAGGTTTACAATAAAGTGAGTGCATTTGTTTACTACGGCACCGTTTGGTAACCATTATTCTAGAAAAAAATGCATTCTTTGTGTCAAATAATACCTTTTTTGTGGTTGAAAATGAAGGAAAAGTTATTAATGTGATGAAAAATATTATTTTATTGATGAATGTGTGGTTGAAAATTAGTAGAAAAATGAGAATGAAAAAAAGAATGGATACCAAACAGAGGCTACACGAATAATCTAGGGTGTGTTCGGTAGAAATTAAAATCAGATTAAAATTAAAAAATTAGTCGTTATTGTCAACTTTTATTAGACGAGTAAGACTCAATAACGGCTGTATTTTCAATTTAAAAATACAATTAAATTTAAAAAATTGAAGATGTATGCTCTACCCCATCTCATCTCCACTGCCCAAAGATCCTTGACAAGGAAAGGGATGGGAAGGGCCATTCCAACGTATCACATTCCATTGTCATTCCTATAATTGTTACACGAACAAAAAGTAGGGACAAAAAAATGTTATTACATAAATTTAAGGGTCCGTTCGATTGTAAGGATGGAATTTGAGTGTAAAGAAAAAGAATTACAGGGAATTAAATTGCCTAAAATTCATTTTACTAGGAATTGTTAATTAATTGTATTTGATTGGTATAATTTTTCACTGGAAAAATGTTGAAATTTTGGATCTTTTAGTGTTCGTTTGACTTTATTTTTTATGAAAATTGTCCATTAAAGGGAA